AAACCCCAATTATTCCACCTCTAAACTGTCTCACATTGTGTCACACATGAGCTTTGGGGGGACACCTCACATCTAAACCATAACATCATGGAACCATTGTGAAATAACAGGATACCTAACAGTGGCTCAAATGAATAGTTTGTTTCTAACAAAGAAAAAAAAAAAAAGAATCCAGAGATTGGTGCATGCAAAATCAGTTGGGCATCTCGGGGCCTGGGGCTGTGGCTCAGTGGTAGCCCACTTGCCTAGCATGTGTGAGGCCCTGGGTTCCTTCATCAGCACCGTACACACAAGATAAATAAATAATAAAGTTATAAAAAAACAAAAAGAAAGGAAGAAAGAAAAGAAAATCTGAGCATCTCAGCCACCCCTGGACCTTTTTGGCTCAATTACAGGGTGGCCTGCCCTCTCAGCCCCATCTCTGAAAGCAGTTACCTCCATCTTGGGACACCTCTACCGCCATCTTGGGTTACCTGCACGCCACCACCACCATCTTAAGTTGGGGAAGTTTCCATCTTAAGACACTGGTTAGGCCCCTGGAAGCCCAACATCAAGGTACCTATAAGTTTGATGCTGCCACCGCCACCAACTAGAGACATGGCTGCTTCCATCTAGACACAACAGCCAGGATCTGGGAAGACCATCACCAAGGTCCCTGCAGGCTTGGTTACATAATAGCCACCTTTTCTTGATTCCTCTTTCACTCTTCCTATGATCTAATACCTCTGTATTTTTACCTCCTACCTCATATACCACCTGCTTTGGCCACCATTAGAAACTGTAGACCCTTTGATGAACCTACTGTTGATATTGTAGATATTAACCAAACATATCATTTCTGTTCATTGCAACAAAACTGTAATTGTCTAAACAGGAGCTATTTGGTTTAAGGCTGCATATTGTTTGTATTAGGTGCTGTTAATATTGATTTTCCCCTTAAAGGAGAGGTATTGGAACCCTGAAGGGACACTATAAAGAAGTTTATAGGGTAGAAACATCTTCGATCCTCACGGCAAGAGAGGAAGACACACGAACAATGTGAAAAAACCAGGAAGGAAAATGCCTAAAACAAACCAAGATGCTACAATAATAGAATCCATTGCAGAAGAGATGTCAGAGAAGGAGCTCAGAATGTACATAATTAAAATGATCTGTGAAGTAAAGAATGACGTAAGAGAGCAAATATAGGCCAAAAAATGATCACTCCAACAAAGAGATAAGAGATGAAATATAGGCAACAAAAGATTACTTCAAGAAAGAGATATTCGGGTGGGGGGGGAGTGGCATGGGGACCTGAAATCCTTGAAGCAAAGAAAACAATAAACCAAATTAATAATTCAATAGAAAGCATCACCAACAGACTTATCCACTCGGAAGACAAAACCTCATGCAATGAAGACAAAATATATAATCTTGAAAATAAAGTGACCACACAGTGAAGATGGTGAAAAAACATGAGCAGAATCTCCAAAAATTATGGGACAACATGAAAAGACCAAATTTAAGATTTATTGGGATAGAGAAAGGCATAGAGATACAAACCAAAGGAATGCACAATCTTTTTTTTAATATGTTTTTAGTTGTGGAGAGACACAATATTTTTATTTTTATGTGGTGCTCAGGATCAAACCCAGTGCCTCACACATGCTAGGCAAGCACTGTAATACTGAGCCACAACCCCAACCCCAATGCACAATCTTTTCAATGAAATAATATCAGAAAATTTCCCAAACCTGAGGAATGAATTGGAAAATCAAATATAAGAGATTACAGGACACCAAATGTACAAAATTACAATAGATCCATACCAAGGCACATTATAATGAAAATGCCTAGCATATAGAATAAGGAGAGAATTTTAAAAGCCACAAAAGAAAAGTTTCAGATTACATATGGGGAGAAACCAAATCAGATCTCCCCAGATTTCTCAACCCAGACAGTCAAAGCTAGAAGGTCCTGGAATAACATATACCAAGCTCTGAAAGAGAATGGATGCCAACCCAAAATCTTGTATCCAGCAAAATTAAGCTTCAGATTTGGTAACAAAATAAAAACCTTCCATGATAAACAAAAGTAAAAAAAAAAATTACAACAAGAAAGCCTACCTACATAACATTCTTGGCAAAATATTCCTTGAAGAGGAAATGAAAAACAACAATGAAAATCTGCAAAGGAGGAAGTACACTAAATGAAAAGCCAATCAAAGGAGAAACCAAGTCAAGTTAAAAACCAAAAATAAACCATATTTCAATAATAATCCTGAATGTTAATGGCCTAAACTCATCAATCAAAAGACACAGACTGACAGATTGGATTAAACAAACAAACAAACAAAAGACCCAACAATATGCTGTCTCTGAGAGACTCACCTCATAGGCAAAGACATCCTCAAACTGAAGGAGAAAGGATGAGAAAACATCTCTCACGTGGATCATGGATCATGTACACAAGCAGGGGTTTCTATCCTCGTATCAGATAAAGTGGACTTAAAGCCAAAGTTAATCAGAAGGGATGAAGAAGGCCATTTCATACTGCTTAGGGGAATTATACATCAACAAGACATAACAACCATTAATATTTATGCCCCAAACAATGGAGCGTCTACATACATCAGACGACAAACCCTGCTCAATCTCAAGAATCAAATAAACCACAACACAATAATACTGGGTAATATGCCTCTGTCTCCACTGGATAGATCCTCCAAACAAAACCTAAATAAAGAAGATACAGAAATAAAAATTACAATTGATAATTTAGTCTTAACAGACATATATAGAATATTTTATCCATCAATGACTTAATACACTTTCTTCTCACTAGCACATAGATCCTTCTCTAATATAAACCGTGTTATGTAAGCTATCACATACGTTGGCATACAATTGTATACTACTATTTAATACTACTTTAACATAGTTTTAGCATCTGAAGGTTATTTTGATAGCTCCCTTTCCATTGATATTAATTTTTGTGTTCCTCCTTTTTTCTTAATTAGACTCATTTGATTTATCAAATTATAGCTGTATTATTTCTTCTCTATGTCATATATTTCTGCTCCTACTCTTATTTTTTCCTTCCTACTACATAATTTGAAAATAATTTGAATGCTATTCTAGCTTCTTTCTGCTACAACTACTTTAAGTTACAAATGTTCATCTGAGACCATTTCATCCCAGAGATCCTGATATTTTAAGCTTTTATTATCACTTAGTTCAAAGCACTTTTATTTACTTTTCTTGTGCTTTCTTCCTTGACCACTGAGATATTTATAAGTGCATCATTTAATTTTGAAGTAGTTGACAAGTGGGGGTGGGGCTCTGTATACCTTAAGGTGATTGATTTCTAATGTGATAAATCATGCAGGAAACACAGTCTGTATGATTTCAAATTTTAGAAAAGTAATGGAAATGCTTTTTATATTGATTGTATTGGTTATATACATGTCAAAACTGATCAAATTGGGGAGGGGGCATGGGGGTAGGAATAATAGTAGAATGAATCAGATATTATTGTCCTATGTGCATATATGATTACATGACCTGTATAACCCTACATCATGTACAACCAGACAAATGAGAAGTTAAACTCCATTTATTTATGTATGTGTCAAATGCATTCTATTTTCATGTATAACTAATTAGAAAAAATTTAAAAATATGAAAAAAATCAACACAGAGTGACCCTTACTTCTAGACATATACCTGAGAGAAATAAAAACATGTGTCCACATAAAAACTCATATGCAAATGTTCACATCAGCATTACTTATAGTAGTAGAAAGTAAGAACTACACAAATATCCATCTACAGGATATCCAATGGAGAACCAAAATATGGTATATCCATACTGTAAAATATTGCTCAGCTATGAAGAGGAAGGAAATATTGATACATATACAATGTGAATGAACCTTCAAAACATATACAGTGAAAGAAGACAGACACAAAGTGCCTTGTAATATATGATTCCATTTATATGAAATGTCCAAAATAGAGAAACGCATAAAGACTGCAGATTAGTGGTTGCCAGAGGCCGAGGTGTCAGACATGGGCACTCAAGGGGTCACAGCTAAAGAGTGGGGGGAGTTTCTCTTTGAGGTCATAAAAGGTTGGTTGTAGAGATGGTTGCACAACTCTGTGACTAAACTACAAACCACTGTGCTGTGTACTCTACATGGGTGAATGGTACAGTGTGTGAATGCGATCTCGATCCAGCTGTCACATACACAGGAGCAGAGAAGATAAAGCATGGACAGCAAGCAGCGCCATCCCACCCCTGCAGACAGCTGCGGTAGCGCCCCAGGGCTGGGATGTACTTTTAGATTCGTTTCTGTTCACCCTCAGGTCCCACCAGCACCATGTGCTCTGCAGGTGGCCTGCTTGAGGGTCCCAAGCAAGACAAATTGTCAGCAAAGGTGATAAAGCCAAAGGACGGAGCCAGTACCACCAGGTCATTAGCAGCCCCAACACGGGGACTGCTCTCCAGCGAGGCTGTCGTTTGCCTATTCACTTGGTCCTGATTTGTCACCCAGTTCGCTCTTCCTGGGGCTCCCCCAATAGCAGGTCAATACTCCTTAACCCCATTTTGGAGCCAAGGCAACCGAGTGGAAGGTCAGCCCACACCCATTCTGGTGTCCCCCAGCTCCTAGCCTTGGGTGCTGGGGGCCTTCCTGAGGGATGAAGCTGCTGGGAGAGCCCACCGGGCCTGGCCAGGGGGGACACGCCAATCAGGTCCAGCCCAGAAGCACCCATCCACGCGGAGGCGGAGGGCGAGCCTCGAGGACCCCAGGAGAACCGGTAGGTCTCTCTGAGGGGTCCACCCCGCGGACGTGCTGCTGTCCCTGGAGAGCAACGGGCGGGGGCTGTGGGCCTGTTTGCACTGAGCGCTCTGTTCAAACACGACTCCCGCCTGCGGACACCTGTGCCCGGGGGAGGGCGGAGGGGCGGGAGCCCGCGCAGGTCCCTGGTGCAGGTCCCCGGTGCTCACTCCTCGCCTGCTTCCCGCTTCTCTGACTGGAGCCAGCCCCGCGGTCCTGGTGGGGTCCTGGCCACGCCATGCCCTGCGCTAGGCTGGCCAGCTGCTGGGGCGGCCGGGTGCTGCCCCTGCTGCTGGCCTACGTCTGCTACCTTCTGCTGGGTGCCACTGTCTTCCAGCTGCTGGAGAAGCAGGCGGAAGCTCAGTCCAGGGACCAGTTCCAGGTTGAGAAGCTGCGCTTCCTGGAGAACTACACCTGCCTGGACCAGAGGGCCCTGGAGCAGTTTGTGCAGGTGAGGGGGATGGGGGGAAGGAGGCCGAGGGGTGGGCAGAACAGTCCCCTGTGGCAGGTCCTGGGCAGTCACCCAGGGGATCATGTCCCATTTGGAAGCAGAGAGTGAGGGGAACATCAGAGGTCGGATCTGGTCCTGGATTGTGGTCCCAGATCTGAAACAGGATTCCTGTGTGACCTTGAGAGAGTCATTTAACATCTCTGGACCCAAATATCCTCACCTATAGGGTGACAAGAAGCGGCAGATCTGTTCTGCAGACATTTGACAGCAGGTTAAAAGCACTCTCTCAGCCGCCACCTGCTGCACAGATAGGAACTGAGTGTCAGTGTCATCAAGTCTTCTTCTCCCTCATTTCCACACTTCCCCCACCCCCTCCCGGCTCAGGTCCCTGGGAGGAGACACAGATAACCATCTGACCTTCCCCAGACTCCTTTCCTGGGAGCTGGGCTTGGCAGGCAGTGGCCAGGGTGGCTGAGCTCTGCCAGTGCTGTGCCCACGAGGGCTCTCTCTGGTGCCGAGGGGGCCACCCCCTGCCTGGGGCCCCTTCTGCCACCCTCTCCCAGAAACGGCAAAAGCAGGTGTTGTGGGTGAAAGCTTTGAGAGCAGGAGGTGCAGGGGGTGGCCACTCCTACTGCAAAGAACAGACCAGGTGCAGCGTCATCAAATGATCACAGACATCTATTGAGCATTTACAATGTGTCTGGAGTGGGAGGAGCAGGGCTGGGTCCAATCACAATCCACCACCCCCAGAGCTGGCCTCTTGTCATTGCTGCTACTATCACTGTCTCAAGCTCATAGTGTGGTGACTGAGGCGCAGAGAGGTGGCGCGTGCTGACCCAGGCTGCAGATACTGGTAGACACAGAGCTCTCATTCAGACTCGGAGAGGGGCCCTTGTCCTTTAGCCCAGAGCCGTAGTTCTCAAAGTGCAGTCCCTGGACCAGCAGCAGCAGCAGCACCTGGGAGTGTGTGAGAAATGCTGCCCAGACCTGCAGGAGCTCCGGGTGGGGCCGCGGGTGGTGTTAAGCAGTATCTGGTGATGCTGAGGCCTCCCTCAGGACTGAGGACGGCTGGCCTACAAGAGGATTCACAGCCTGGGAAAACTTGGTGGAGCTGCGAGACACCTATCCCAGCTCTTCCAGGAGGCCCACATCAGAGGACAGGAAGGTTCAGAGGTTCCCAATACCCAGGGCACAAGGCAGAGCCCTGGAGACCCAGAAACCTCCTCCTCTCTCAGCCCAGAGTGAGCCCAGGAGCTGGGCAGAGGGCGGGATGGGTGGCTGGGCTCTGACTACCTCTGTAAATAAGGAGGAAGGCCCTAGGTCTGACTGCAGCTGGACAGGGTACCACCGTTTAGCCCCCAGGGCCTCCCCAGGGAAGATAGGACGTCACTGTCCATGACAGTCCTGAGCCTTGGGAGAGATCCTTACCAGAGGAAGTTGAGCAGGGAAGGAGAATGCAGGGGTAAGATTCTGGGAGAACAGGAGTCACTGCTGAACTCTGCCACACGCCAGGGACAGAATTTACTGCAGTATTAAAAAGTGACTCCAGGCATGGGGTGCACACCTGTGATCCCAGCTACTCAGGAGACTGAAGCAGGAGGATCCAGAGTTTGAGGTCAGCCTGGGCAACAGTGAGATCCAGTCTCCAAATAAAAAGTTTTTAAAAAGGGCTAGGAATATAGCTTCATGGAAGAGCACCTCTGGATTCCATCCATAGTACCATGAAAAGAAAGGAAAAAAAAATAAAAAATATATATATATATATTAAGGAACAAGCCTTCCCTGATCCCAGAATTAGTGAATCTGCCTCTCTCTCCATCACCTGTGGATTCTTAGAGAAGAAAATGCCTCCCACCCACACTACTCAGTACCCTCAGGGAGGTCAGGGCCCTCCTCGGGGGTGTAGAGGGCCCTGGGTTGCAGAGGGGACGACCCAGGACTAGGGCAAGTGCTGCCTGCAGGGGTTCGGGTCTCTGGGGAGGGGCTGTGTCCAGGAATGTCTGGCCCTGGCCTCTCTGGGCATGTGGGAAAGAGAGGGAAGCCAAAGTCCACATCTTCAGTGGCCAGCTCCTGCCAAAATGAGAAGAAGCAGACCGCCTGCTGCTGAGGACGTCCACACTGGCCCAGCCCACCAGGGACACCCCACCCTGGCCCAAGCATGTCCACCCAGCCAGTGGGAAGTGGTTCCCACAGGAACGAGAGGCCAGAGCTCCCACGCTCCTCCACAGTGGCCCCACCCTGACCCGGGGACTCTACCTGGCGTCAAGGCTGAGCTGCCCTGGGACGATTCACAGGGGCTGGGGGCAGGGGAGGAGGGCGCTCTCCCCTTTCTCCAAGAGGACTGGCCAGGGGTGGAGGAGCTTAGCTGGAGCTGGGTCTAGTTTTGGTTCTAGAAACCACACACACACACACACACAACCTGGACACACGTGCAACATGCAGTACTTACGCAGACGACGCACCACACAGCACCTTCCTGCAGGCCTCTGGTGGAATCTCTGCGTCACCAGAGGGCCGCCAGAGCAAAGCCACCAGCTCCCCTGGAAGCTCAGAGAGCAGAGGTCTCTGTCCCACCCCGCCCCAAAGCCCTAGGGCTTTCTTGTGGTCCCCAGCAAATCCTTCCAGAAACACCCACCTGAACCCGTCCTTAAGCACACGGACTTGGGGTCCAGCGACCGTGGGCATCGCAGCCACTCTGAGCCTACCTTCCCTTTTCTGTGAAGTCGGAACAACACCATCTAAGGACATCATTAAACGCGACAATGGGGAAGCACCCTGCGGAGAGCCTGGAGACCACAGGTGCACAGTGACCACCCACGCTCTCCCCACAGGTCATCATGGAAGCCTGGGTGAAAGGCGTGAACCCCAAAGGCAACTCCACCAACCCCAGCAACTGGGACTTCGGCAGCAGTTTCTTCTTCGCAGGCACAGTGATCACCACCATAGGTAAAGGGTTGTGGGGCAGCAGGGCTCCCCGGCCCAGGCCCCTGTCTCAGTCTGGGATCCCCAAAAGCAGATGCTGAGAAGAGGATGTGGTTACCCGGGAGACAATTCAGGAAGCCCAGGCAGGGAAGTGGAGAAAGAGGAAGTCAGAGGGTTGCTGGTTGGGGCGGCTGAGCTCACCTCTCGCTTGGGACCTGCTGAGAGGCTAGGGAGAGCCGTCCTCAGAACAGGCCTGCCAGGGACTGGTCACTCGGGCCCAGCTGACAGAAAGCCTCTCCTAGTGTGTTAACCTCCAGCATTCTGCCCCAGCCCTGGACCCTGCACACACCTGGGGCCAGAGAAGTTCCTCAGGCAGAGATGCAAGGACTTGAGCTGGGAGGTCAAGGAACTGTCCACCAAAGCACAGTTGACATCCTGGGTGTCCCAAGGCACTGACAGCATCTACTATACCACTCCACCAAAAACCCACATGGCCCCAACTCCAGGAACCCCCAGGCCCTCCTATCCCAGGTCTCCCCATCCATTCCATTAAGTCCACCGGCCTCAACATTCCAAGGAAGGTGATGGGGGGGGGGGGGGCACAAACTTGGATTGGATCCAGGCTTGGTCCTCCATCCAATAATGAAGGATAAGTACAGTACAAGGCAGCACAAATCATTAGAAATGACACGAAACACCACAGGATGCCATGTGCAGTCAGAGGAGAGTGACAGGAGGGCTTCGCAGAAGCAGTATCGTTGGACTTGGGCTGTCAAAGAGAAACCGGATTTCTGTAAATAAAGGTCGTCCATTCTGGAGGGTGGGATGGACGAGGCTCATGGGAACAGGGGAGCTTCTGGCCCAGCAGTGACAGAAAGACCCAGGCGCTGTGCTAACTCTCTTCCATAGCTGCGCCCTCCCTCTCTCTGGCAGGATATGGGAACCTGTCCCCCAGCACAGAGGCTGGCCAGGTCTTCTGTGTCTTCTACGCCCTGGTGGGCATCCCACTCAACGTGGTCTTCCTCAACCACCTGGGCACGGGGCTGCGTGCCCACCTGGCCACCCTGGAGAGGTGGGAGGACCAGCCCAGGCGCTCCCAGGTACAGTCCCTCCTCCCCTCCAGCCCCGCTGTGAAAGGTAAGTGGTGGACACTGAGAGAGGCCTTGGTGTGCAGGGCAGCAGGGACACACACCTGTGGGAGAGAAGGGGCAGCTGCAGGACCGGGCAGAGGGAAAAGCTGAATTCTGATTCCAGCTGGACAAAGGTGTGGCCTCTGGCAGCTCCACAGTGTGTGGGGGTTGCGGAGGGCCCTGGAGTTGACCGCAGAGTGGCTGAGGGGCTGGGCTTCACATCTCCAGCAGCACGGGGTGTGGCCTTCTCAGGAAGCGTGTGCCCACCAGCCAGGCTTCTCGGAAGTGAGCTGACAGCTGGCCAATAGTCCTTCTTTGATGGGGAACCTCTGTGGCCATCACAGAGCTCCACCAACTTTTCATGGGGTCAAAGGACCCTCTAGGCCACCCGCATGCCTCCAGAGTGCACCGCTTGGAGAGCAAGAGTGCAGAGGGATCTGGGACAGTTTGGTGACAGTCCCATCCCGGATGAGAGTTCCCAGGAAGCCTGTTTGCCTGTGGTCCTCATGCCTGAAGGGGTCTTCAGATCCCTCCTTGACCCGCTCTCCCACCTCCTCTGCCCAGCCTTCCCTGGCCTGGGCAAGATGGCACACCCCCAGACACAGCCCCCTCCCAAGGTCTGCAGGGGACTAACTGTGACCAGGCCTTCCCACATCCCCATGCAACCCTGAAGTCTTCCAGGTGGACTCAGGGCCAGACTCCCTCTCCCCAGCTCCTGCAGGTCCTGGGCCTGGCTCTGTTCCTGATCCTGGGGACACTGGTGGTTCTCATCTTCCCGCCCATGGCCTTCAGCCGAGTGGAGGGCTGGAGCTTCGGCGAGGGCTTCTACTTTGCCTTCATCACCCTGAGCACCATCGGCTTTGGGGACTACGTTGTCGGTGAGAATGAGAGTCACAGATCTCAGGATGGGGGACCCGCTGGGATCCAGGAGATGGGAGTTATCAGCTAAGGGTATTTCCAGTCCTCAGAAGTCCCTGGTCTGGGACCCATCATGTTTCTCCAGGGACTTCCTGCTGATCCTTGTTATGAGGAAGACAAGAGTGCCTCCTACTTGGTGGGGAATCCCTGGGTGGAGCCTGGGGCTGGCTGTGCCCTCAGACACCTGCTGTCCCCTTCCCTGCAGGCACAGACCCTAGCAAGCGTTACATCTCGGTGTACCGGAGCCTGACAGCCGTCTGGATCCTCCTGGGCCTAGCATGGCTGGCCCTGGTCCTCTCCCTGGGCCCCTTGCTTCTACACAGGTGCTCCCAGCTCTGGCTCAACGGCAGGGGCCTCAACCTCAAGGACCGGACAGCCCCTGACCCTCAAGGGCTCCCCAGACCTCAGAAGATGCCCATCTCTGCATGAGGTCCCCTAGTGGCCCAGCAGTCCCTCCCAGCCTCCCAGCCCATGCCATCTGCCCTCTTGAGATCCTTCTCTCCTCTTCCTCTCCCAACCCCACACCTGTCCCAGCCAGGGTGGGCCCAGAGCTCTCCAGGAAGACAAGGAAACATATGTCCAAAAAGTACCAGAGGTGACCTGGAAAACTCAAACACATTCACTGTGGCCAGATCTTCAATGACCTCCCCACATACCCCACCCCAGGGTCCTTAGACGGACAGGAGACAGAGGGTAACTTGACTTGGGCCTCACCGGATGGGTGCACAAGGTCTATTTGCCAAGCCCCCACTATGTGCTAGGCTCTGAAGTACAACTGTGAACATTCTTGCCCTCACCTGTGCCTTTAGTCTGTCTAGCAGGACAGACAACCGGACAGGCAGCCCAACACAGTGTCCAAAATGTCCCGTGGGAGCAGACCCAGGGAGGATGAGTCCATGAGAATGGCCGTCTTGGGTGGGGGAACACGCTGGAACCATCTTAGTGCAAACAGGAAGCTCACAGCTGCCTCCCAAAGCTTGCCAGACCCTTTGAAGAGGTGTCCCACCATTTTGCTGGTCATGACCTCCCCTGACCTCCAGGGTACGCCCTTGACCTGATGACCCCTCTGGTCCCCTGTCTTCTTAAAAGCCTTTCCAAGAACCCCCTGAGAAGCTAGAGGGCCAGCGGGTCCCAGGAGCCTTCCAGAAAAGGCGCTCCATGGAGACCTGACCTCCCGTGGGACCATGTGCTGGGGGCCTGGCCTTTCTCCGGCTGAATTGCAACATCGCTGCAGCCCAGAAGGAGACAGATTTGGGCCAGTCCACCAATGGCCAATCTCACCAAAGACCATAGACTCCAACCAGTACTTCTTCCATCACCCCAACAGCAAGCAGACCCCTAAGCGGCGGGGTCTCATGGGACCACAGAGGCCAAGCTGTGGAGGAGAGGAAGCTCCTGGCCAGAGACCCAGGGAAGGATCGCAGCAGCAGAGGACCGCAGCTTACACCCTGGGACCAGTGACATCCAAGAGAGGGTGGAAACTGAAGACCCCCACCCACGGACTCTTTACCCTCCCTGGGCCCTTCCTGCTTTCTGGGTGGAGGAGGGACTTGGGGGGAAAGAAGGCAGGACCTGGTTAAGGTCCTCTTGCCTCCAAGCTCACAGCCCAGTGGCAGTCAGTTGGAGTCCCTCTTCTTTTAAGTACACAGGATGGGACAGAAGATTCAGGGAGAAGCTGAGAAGCAGCCAGTGCTTGAAGATGGTCCCAGGGTCCGTGGACTTAGGCAGGAGCCCTGAGACAATAAACGTGGCTTCTGCTTTCTCTTCCCCTAGAGCGGTTTCCAGTAGTCCCTCCCACTATTTGCCGCAGGAAATGCTGGGGGGCTCTGGACCCCTTCCCTCCCAGGGCCTGTGGTCACCCAGTGGCATCTCCTTTTCCCTAACCTGGAAATGGGCACTTCACAGATTTTTTGAAGTGCAGCCAGATACCTGGGACTCAGCCTCTTATTGTCCCTGGGATCGGATCCTGGGGGTGGGGCAGGGCCGTCCCACCCCCCTGCACTCCTCTTCCCAAGGGGAAACCGGCCATTGGCGGCTGTTTTAGAGAAGGGGCCGGCCAGGCTCCTGGCCCTTCCTTTCCACCTCAGTTCCTGTCCACAGCTCCAGCCCCTGTCCTCTCCCGCCATGCACCCACCGGGAGCTCCAGCGGCGCACAAGGGCAGGGGTCGGGGCTGCGTGGTGCCGGGCACTTTGTTCCTGCTGTTCGCCTACCTGGCTTACCTGGCGCTGGGCACCGGCGTGTTCTGGGCGCTGGAGGGTCGCGCGGCTGAGGACTCTAGTCGCAACTTCCAGCGCGACAAGTGGGAGCTGTTGCAGAACTTCACGTGTCTGGATAGCCACGCGCTGGACCTGCTGATCCGGGTCAGGGGCGAGCGGGGTCGCTCCAGGCGCGTCTGGGGAGGGATCGGGGAGCGAGGGGTGCACCGGCCTGGGATGGGAGGGTCCGCTCCGGCCCGGGAAAGGAAACCCCGGGAGCGTATATCCCGAAGAGCGGCGGAGCTGCTGCACAGGGGCCCCACAGGGGCGCGCGTCTGGGCGTGGGGAGCCGGAGGGTTGGACTCTGGCTAGAGGATCGCCAGCGCGGTGCTCCGCGTCCTCCTTTACGGGGCGAGAGAGCGTGACTGACCCTGTGGGGAGACGCAAGCTTGGCGCACCGCATCCGAATTTGGGAATGAGCACTACAGAGGGCACACTTCCCTGGGTCACAAAGCCACCAAGGCCGTCCAGATCCGGTCCGGAGACTGGGAGCGTTTGGTCTGTGGGTGGCAGGCTGGCGGGCGGCACCCAGGTGCGCGGCCCTGTGTCCCAGTGCCACCGTAGGTGAAGAATGAAAGGACACACCTTGCCTCCTCCAAAGAGAGAACCTGGGTGCAAATATGCGAACTAGGGCGAGGATCCTAGGGGGCTCTGGCCTGGGTCCAAGGGTGAGCAGGACTGAGGGCACGATCCTCGGCACTTGGGGGAAAGGGGGGCAGGACAAGTTTGTCCCAGAGGGTGGGTGGCCAAGATATGCTTGTCTAGGGCAAGGGCAACGGAGAGGAGGGCTGGAAGTGGGTAGATCCGGTTGGAGAAGTAGCGTGGACGCAGAGCGGAGCTCGCTTCATTCAGAGTCTGTAGATACCAAGGGCTGAGGACACCCCGGCCGCTGATGCCGGAAGGGCCAAAGTGGAAGTCGTGGGCGGAAGGAACAGAGGCCAGAGGATGGGGCCCCCGTGAGGCCGGGGAGGCAGGGGCATCCCAGATATATGGAAATTTCTTCTGGGCATCAGGCTGGCAGCTGCTCCTTTGGTGGCTGCATTAACATCCTGAGCCCCCAACTGACTCTCAATTCCCCACTCTAGGCCTCAGATAGCCTCCCAGCCTCTGCCCCTCCTGTCTTTCCTAAATATCCTTCCACGCAGAGCAATCCTACCTGACCCTCAAGGGACAGCCCACCTCACCTTGAAGCCATCTGTCCCTGCCTTCACCAGAATGAACACCTTTTTTCTCTGAATTCTTACAGCAAAATATTCTTATTAGTGTGATGATGGCAACCATTAAATTTCCCACACACCATGTACTGTTTTTAGTCCTCAAATACGAGACCTCATTTAAGCTGGGCAAAGTGGTGTGTGCCTATCATCCCAGCAACTAGGGAGGCTGAGGCAAGAGGATCATAAGTTCAAGGCCAGCCTTAGCAACTTAGGCCTTAAGCAACTTAGCAAGACCCTGTCCAAAAATAAATAAATAAATAAATAGAAGAGGAAGACTGAGGAGGTAGCTCAGTGGTAAAACACCCCTGGGTTCAATCCCAGTATCAAACTAAATATAGAGAGAAAAACTTAATTTAACCCCTACACAACTACTAGGAAGTAGGTACTATGAGTATTTCCATTTTACAAACAAGAAAACTGAGGCTTAGAGGAGTTTGGTAACTTGCCCAGGATCCTGGACACTGCCTCCTTAATGCCCAAACGGTCACCGGTTGCACGAGTTCATTCAGTACGTCTCTGTCCAGTGAGGGCTGAGGTCCTGTCTCTCATCCTCTGGCCCCTAAAAGCACCACGTTTCGCCTGGCCGCGTGCTTCCTGCAGGAAGGGGGCAGCAGAGAGTAGGTGGATGGTTGTCCACCAGGTGGAGAGGTACCCCACCCCACCCTGACCTGGGATGGGGACAAAGAGAGTAAAGGAGCCACCTCCATGGTCCCTGCCTCTGGGGACCCCCAGGTTGACCGGAGGGATCAAGGCGCCTTGCCCTGGCCAGGCTGGGACGGAAGAGTGACTGTGAGGACTGTGCCTCAGAGAGCTGTGTATTTGGGGGTGCAGGGACCCAGTCTCCCCACAGAGCCTGTTGGTCACTGCAGCCTCTCCCCCAGGACATCATCCAGTCGTACAAAGACGGGGCCCACCTCCTGAGCAACACCACCAGCATGGGGCGCTGGGAGCTCATGGGCTCCTTCTTCTTCTCTGTGTCCACCGTCACCACCATCGGTAAGGGCAGCCTGGGGCCAGGGTGGCTGGGCTGGGGAGGGCGGCCTTCCCTGGAGGGCAGGGGGGCCGGTTGCCTTTTGGAAGGGTTACTAGTGCTTCACCCCTCCAAGTGCAGTGGGTTTCTCTTCCTCAGGAGCAGAAGAGCCTCGAGCATCACCATGACCCACTGACCCCTTTCTGCATTTCATCCAGGTCCCCAGGGGATTGTGGGGGATGTTCAAGTTTGAGAAATGCGTTCCTACGGGACTTTCTCCCCTTTCGGCCTTCCAGGGATCAGAGCGTCTCCTGACAGGGCAGGAGAGGCCTCTGGGCACCAGGAGTGTCCGGCCCCCAGTTAACCCACCCAACACAGCCCCAGGGGTGCACTGGAGCAGAGGCCCTGTGAAAGAGACTTGAGGCCCCTGTCCTGAGCCCTGCCATGGCCACCTGTCCTCCTGCCTGCAGAGGGGAGCTCTCCCTTCCCAGGGCCTTCTCCTGAGCTCTCTGGCTCAGCCCTGGTCCCCAGCACCACCCTCCCCAGCCCCTTTCCTCCACTGGGGCCGGCCCTGCCTGCAGAGTCACTGAGGTGGAACTTGTCCCAGTGGGCACCTTGGGGTCATGGTGTGAAGAAGAGAAGCCCTAGGCCCTGGCCACTCTGAAACCCAAGAGATAATGGGATGCTGTTGCCTAGCGCCCTCTGCCCTGGGGACCAGCCCCAGCCCCTGCATGATACTGGACTGACCACTAGGTGGCAGACTGGCACCACCAGTGACTTGGGCTCCTGCCCCTGCTCTGGGTGGACCAGGAATCTCTCCACCACCAGCATCCCCCTCTGTCCTCCCGAGAGTGGACAGGGCAAGACCACCCAGAGGACTCTCCATCTAGCTTTAAATAAGCCCACACTTCTTGCAAGGGGGTAGCAGGGCTACTCAGGAACTGGGGCAGTCCTTCCCATGAGCCTGCTCCAGAGGCCCCCCAGACTCCACGGACCCCGACCCTTGAAGGACAGTCAGGAGGGCGTTGGCTCATCTCTACATTCCCGGGGCTTAGTACAAGGCCCAGCCTGCGGTGGGCACTCAGCAAACGCTGCCCCGTAAGGAGTCTCAGCAAAGATGCTCTGGAGCAGCCTGACCTGAGTAGTTCTGGAGCAGCAGGGCACTTGGAGGGCAGGAGAGGCCTCTGGGCACCAGGAGTCCCCATGACCAGACTGTGGGAGCCCCAGGCCCATGACGTCAGCCTGCCCGGCTCTGCCCCTCCCAACCTGGAACACTCCTACCCCTTCTTCTCCGCTCAGCTCTTCCCTGAGGCACTCACCCTCTCTGGGGGTGAGGAGGGCAGAGGAGGGGAGCCCCCTTACACACACACACAGTATACACCCAAGGTATACACCCAAGGTCCTCTTGTGCAAGGGCCCAATGGAGCAGCCTCCAAGGATAGGGCTTATTTTCATCTCACAGATGGGGAAACTGAGGCACAGAGAAGTGGTAGAACTTCCTCAAGGCCACATAGGCAGAGCTGGGGTCTGACACCCAGCGGGGTGGGGGAGGGGCCACCTGGCTCTTTCCAGGGGCTTCTGTCCTCGGAGTTCACAGGACAAGGCGGGCTTTCTGAATCAGCAGAGTGGTCAGAAGCCCTGGCCCTGAACACTCACACAGAGAAAGAGACAGGAGGCGTGGGGCACTCGGAGAGAGAGAAGGCATTCTGAGAGGACGACAGTGGGCTGCCCCTGAGGCCATCCTCTCCAAGCCCTAAAACTTGGGGTCTTATAATGACTGGGGACCATTATAGATGGTGAGGCCATCAAAGGACTCACTGCCTCAGTGACATTGATGTGGAGACATGAACAAAAGGAGGAAGCAAGCTATGCAGGTATCTGAGGAAGAGCCTTCTGTCTGTGCAAAGGCCCTGAGGTAGAGTGTGGCTGTTGTGTTTGGGGAACACTGAGGAGGTCCAGGTGGCTGAGGAGGGTTGGAGGTGAGGCTGAGTTCAGAGAGAGTGCAGAGGAGCCCGCTAAGGCCCTCAAAGGGGAGAGAGGTGACAGGCGAGAGGTGTGCTGACATGGGAGGTGGCTCTTGGGGAGCTGCAATCATCCAGGGTTAAACAGTCTTGTGGGGGCTATTGACATCACCAATTGCTCTGACCCGAGGGATGACCAAGTGAGGGGGAAAAGGGTCCATTAAAAATCAGCCTTGGAAAACTACAGGGCCCCCCAGAACTGGCAGAATTCAAGTGCCACCATGCCCTTGCTAAGAACTGAGTGACAGAACCCCAAGGCCAGAGACCAGCCCCGGGGGAGGAGGCAGAGGGGGACAGAAGCAGGGGCTGACCCCTCCCTGGATGCTGGCAGAATGAACCCCACCTTTCAGGAGAGAGACCCTCAGAAGGCCGAGAGGGGTAGAGGCTCAAGAGGAGGCCTCTGCAGACCTCAGACCAGAGGCAGCCCCGGGACGCGTGCCCACACCACGGTCATTCCCGCAGCACCTGGGGGACACTGAACTCCTGGGGGCTCACGTCCCCTGCACAACATGCCTCCTGTTCCACCCACTGCTGTTGGGTGCTGACCTCCCCATCTTACAGATGAGGACACAGACAGGAAGGTCGAGCCTCTTGCCCAAGACCACGCAGCCCACCAGGGGCAGGACCGGGATTCAAACCAGGCGGCAGATCTCCCTGCAAAGCCCACACGCGGGGCTGGCATGTGCTGTGGCCCGTCCCAGTGGCCCTCAGTGACGCGGGGTGACATGAACCAGCGGTGTCCAACGGTACAGGGCCTCGGGCGTGGTGGTGCCCGCCAATAATCCAGCTACTCCGCGGCAGAGACAGGGGGATTGCAAGTTCAAGGAGGCCTGGGCAACTTGGCCAGACCTCCACTTAAAATTAAACACAAAACAAAAATAGTATTAGAAAGGGCTGAGGATGCAGCTCAGTGGAGAGCACTCCAGATCAATCCGCAGCACCAGGAAAAAACATTACAGTACAGGTCCGGGTGTGTGGCTGTGCTGGCCCCATCCGGGGAATGTCAGGCAATGATGCAGGGCAGAGGGGGGCCTCCGTTCACTTAGTTCCCCTCCTGTTCACTCCTCGTCCATCTGTTCATTCCACCTGGTGCTTCTCACTCACCACTCGCCACAGTGAGCACTTAGCATCAAGTCTGTGCCCGTCGCTAAGAACAGGAAGATAACCCTAACCCCATCTGTGCATTTTGGGGGGGTTCTGGGGAGTGAACCCAGGGAGCAACACCCCAGCCCTATTTTGAATTTTATTTAGAGACAGGGTCGTGCTGAGTTGCTTAGGGCCTCACTAAGTTGCTGAGGCTGGCTTTGAACTCGCCATCCTCCTGCCTCAGCCTTCTGAGCTGCTGGGATGACAGGCGTGTGCCACCGCGCCCGGCCCCATGTGCACTTTTGAGGGCTCGTGGCCAAGGAGCCCACCACTGAGGACTCGGGTCAGGAAGGGTCATCTCTAGGTGGGCAGGGGGGAAGTGGGCCCTTGGTCGAGGGCGCATCAGGTTCAAAGGCACAGAGTCACTGGAGGGTTTGGGGCAGGAGTATGACCAGAGCTGGGAGGGTGAGGCCCCAGATTCTCAGAGTCAGGCTGGTGAGTGTGCAGGTTCCCCGGCAGGCATGAGGACGATGGCGGTGGTGGCCTGGGTGAGGAGAGTTGGGTTGGCACTTTAGAAAAGCCAGACTGTGGTGGTGGGGACGAAGGGGGCAGCAGTGGGCACAGGGGAGCACTGCAGTGGTGTGTTACCTGGAGGCTGAGGCAGGAGGATGGCTGGAGCCCAGGGGTTCAAGGTCAACCTGAGCAACATAACAAGAGCCTATCTCTTAAAATTTTTTTTAATCAAAATTAAAAAGAAGGGTGGAGCCGTGGCCCTCACCTGTAATCTCAGCAACTCGGGAGGCTGACGCAGGAGGATCGCGAGTTCGAAGCCAGCCTCAGCCAAAGCGAGGTGCTAAGCAACTCCATGACACCCTGTCTCTAAATAAAATACAAAATAGGGCTGGGGACGTGGCTCAGTGGCTGAGTGACCCTGAGTTCAATCCATGGTACCAAATAAAAGGGAGGGGGTGGAGACAGAAGGAGGAGGAATGTCCAGGACGATGCTCCCTGGCCTCCCCCCACTCATCTCCAAGACCAGAGGTCCCGACTACCACCTCCCCGAGGACAGCTCATGTTCCACCATCTGTCCATCAGTCCCACGGCGGGGGGAGGGAGCCGTTCCCCTGGGAATCGGATTCAGAGGGGATGTGGTGTGCAGCAGATAGGAAGGCAGAGGTGGGGGAGCGGGGAGACCCCCACACAGGTCCGACGCCGTGAAGAGACGGGGAGGGGGATGCTCATGGGATCAGGGCCACAGACTGCAGAGGTGCTGCCCAGGGACAGTGTCAGCCAAGCGACAGAGCCTAGAGCAAGGCAGCCAGCTGAAGTAGCCCCACCCTGCCTGGCCACAGGGGCCGCAGCCTGGATGTGCCGGCCTCAGCTCGAGTGTGCAGAGGATCCCAAGGGGCAGCTGCTGGAGGCTGGGCCTTCTCCCTGCCAACCCAAGAGGCAGGACAGAGGAGACTCCCCGCGGGCAGGTGCGACCTGCACACCTGCTAAGGTCCCCGGAGCTACCCTTCCCTCCTGTACAACAGAGCCGCGATCTCGAGGGGTGGTTTGGGGTGCCCAGAGGAGACGGTGTCTAGGGCCCCCAACAAGTCCCAGCTGCCCACGTCTGCAGGGGCATGGAGCGAGGCCCGTGGGGACCGGGCAGGGTCAGGCAGGACACTCTCCTGAGGCAGCCCTCTCGCCCCAGGCTACGGCAACCTGAGTCCCCAGACCATGGCCGCCCGCCTCTTCTGCATCTTCTTCGCCCTGGTGGGGATCCCGCTCAACCTCGTGGTGCTCAATCGCCTGGGCCACCTCATGCAGCGGGGGGTCCACCGCTGTGTCCAGCGGCTAGGGGGCACCTGGCAGGTGAGGGAGGGGCTGCTGGGGTTGGGGGACGGGTCCCTTCAGGATGGGGCGCTGCGGCAGGAACCAGGGTGCCTGGTGGCGAGGGGTGGGGCCAGAGGGGACTGGCCGGGATGTGGAGGGACTGGGGGCCGCTGGCCAGAATCAGGTGTCTGGTGATCGCGGGGCAGGGACGGGGAAGGACACGGTGCCAGGAGTGTCCCCCGGCTAGGAACCTGGAGAGCACAGCCCGGGGAGGGGGCTCTGGGTGCCCCTGCCGAGTGGGGGAGCAGCACTGGGCCAGCTCCCAGCTCAGACCCTGCATCCGCTGGCGGAGGCCCAGCCCCGGGCAGAGGCCACAGGCGGGCGCTGTGTGCACCAGGGCCCGGCCCCCGCCCGCTGGCTGGCGGGCTCCTGCGCGCTGCTGTCGGGCCTCCTGCTCTTCCTGCTGCTGCCCCCACTGCTCTTCTCCCACATGGAGGGCTGGAGCTACCTGGAGGGCTTCTACTTCTCCTTCATCACCCTGAGCACCGTGGGCTTCGGAGACTACGTCATCGGTGAGACCCCCAGGACGGCGGGTGGCCCGGCCTTGCACACCGCCTGGTGGCTGGCCATGAGTGGTGGGGGTGGCCTGGAGGCCCAGGGGCACTCGGCCACCCAAGCCATGTCCCCAGCCCTATTTCATATTGTATTTAGAGACAGGGTCCCCCTGAGCTGCTTAGGGCCTCGCTTTTGCTGAGGCTGGCTTTGAACTCGAGAGCCTCCTGCCTCAGCCTCCTGAGCTGCTCCGCTCCCTGGGGCAGGCAGGGCTCAGGTGCCTCCTGCCCGTCTCGCCCAGCATGGAGCCGCCCTCTGGTCCACAGGCCTCTGCTGTCCTGAGACCCCTCCAGAGAAGCGCAGACCGACCCCCTCCCTGCAGCCCACCTCGCCCACCCCAGCGCCCCTGGGACCCCCTCGGGAATCAAGTGGTGCATCAGGAGGCTCCCCAAACCCCAGCTCCCCACCCGCTGGCCTGGAGAACAATCAGCAGCCACCGAGGGCCAGCACCGCCCGAGGGCCGGGGAGACCTGGGCGAGACAGCCCCCAGAAGCCCTGGCCTTGCCAAATAAAGCAGAGGCCGTGTCCAGCCGGTGGCAGTGAGGGATATGGCAGCAGAGATCCTCGGCGTCCCTCCCTGCTCTCCGTGGTCCAGCCTCCAGGAGGGAGGAGGGCTGCTGTTCAAGGTCCCTACTGAGCAGGGGCCACGGGCACGCTGGCCCTGGGGGCAGGGGAGCTGCACCCTCCCAGACCCCTGGCCCTGGAGGGAGGAGGAGTGACAGAACCCAGCCTGGAACACTGAAGAGAGGTTTTCCCAGGCAACCCCCTGACAGCCATCACCCCCTATTTACTGAGGAGGAAGCTAAAGCTCAGAGAGGCCAAACTATTTGCCTGGGATGCACAGCGAGATATGAATTCTAATCTGTTTGACTCCAAACAGATCATGCTTGTTCCAGATGGCCTCACACACCCCTCTCTGGGCCTCCGTGTCCCTGTCTATAAAGTGAGGGACTGGCTAGGTGGCCACCAAGACCCCAACAGGGCCTTCTGGCCTCTGGGTGCAAGATCCTCTTTCCTGATCTTTTCCTTCCCCAGGAAGAGGGAAACAGTGCTGGGGACCTCATGCGGCCCCTTTGTGGTCTCCCTGACCCTGGCAGCAGGGCTGTGACTCTGGGAAGAAAGCCCTGGGCAGGTCTCTTCCAACGGGGTCACATTCCCACTTCTACCTTCAGAGTAGAAAGACACACGTGAGGAAAGCTGAGCCCAGGAGCTCCAAAGGCCACAGCTGCGCCCTTGCAGGTTCTTTAATCTGTCTTCCCTTCTCTATGTCCACGGCCATTCCGATAGCCCAAGCAGGACTATTGGGTACAACTGCACAAGCATCCATGGAGTTGTATAGCCTCGATCCTTGTCTGCTTGGCTCTTGTGACATCATGTCACCTGCCCAACTCTTCTGAAAACATTCAATATTTCCCATAGTCTTAGGATAAAGTCCCCAAATCCACAACTAGGCCAGCAAGGGCCCTCGATGTGGTCCAGTCTCCCCCTCCCAACCCTGTGCTCTTCCCCTGCTCTCCAGCCACATGAAACAGGGGCGGGGACAAGGAGCAGCTGCCCCTTCCACATCTCCAGAGATGCGCCACCGAGCCTGGCTGACCCTGCAGCCCTCTTCGCCTCCTCTGCAGACCTTCCCTGGGTGCCTGAGACACTGGAGCCCAGGGAAGGGCAGGGAGACGGCCCTGGGGCAGGAAAGGCAGCGCAGACCGAGTTAGGCTCCCACCCGGCACCTCACACCACGAGTGTTCCGGAACCTTCCATTCCTCTTCCCCAAATCTCAGCTCTCCTCGTCCTCCAGGGCTGGGGTCGACCCTTGTCCCTGGGCCAGCAGCCACAGGACCTGGGCTTCACAGCCAGCCCTGCACCCGCCTCCAACGTCGCATCTGCACTGGGTTAAGCGCATGCCAGCTGCCAGGTCTCCTGTGACGACTACAGCTAAAAAAAAAAAAAAAAATGAAATAAAGGTGGAGGAGGGTGCCCCCACCCCGGTGCCCGAGCAGAGCTGGCGGAGGGAGGCCGGAGCTGATCTCATTTGGGGCCGCAGCGGAATCAGCCCGTAACCCAATCAGCCTAATCCAATCCCGCTCTGCCCGCTGCCGGGAGCGCTGGGCTGCAGCCTCGGTGCCACGCCGGGTCCAGAGAGGTGCCCGCCGTGGAGACCAGCCGGGTCTGTCTTGGAGCCAGCAGGGGGTGGGTGGATGGGAACTAGGACAGAGAGGGACTCGGAGGGCAGGCCCCACCCCGTGACCCTGTGAGTGGCCGTCTGATGAGGACACCCAGGGAGCAGAAGGCGGAGGGGAGTCACCCACGTCCACAGTGACCCCGCCTGCCCCCCCAGCCACCACCCAGTGCAGAGCGGCTGACCCAGCGAGGTCAGCGCCTGTCCTGCCCGGGGAACCGTCCTGAGCGCCTCAGCCACTTGAGCCCCAGGTCCCCATGGGTCAGTGAGGGGCTCCTCGGTCACCATCACAGACAGAAAGCAGCAGGCCCAGCAAAGGCCTGTGGGCCGCGAGGACGGCGGGGGCCAGTCTGCTCCCTGGGCAGGACACTCCAGGACGGGCAGGGCGCCAGGAGCCGGGCTGCGGGGTCGGCAAGTCCTCAGGCCCAGGGAAGACAGACGCAGAAGCCAGGCAAAGGCCCCGGTGACAGAGCAGAGGGTGCTGGAGAGGAGGGCGGGGCCTGGGGACCAGGACCAGGACTTCATCCTGAAAGCCAGGAGAGAGGTCAGCACCCGGGGTCACAGGGAAGCCACTCGGCGGCCAGGACAGAGGCGGCTCCATACCCCGGGGCCTCCAGAGTGGGAAACCAAACATGGAGATTAGCACAAGGGAGTCCCCTGGGCCCAGGGAGTCCCCTGGAGGTCACCGCTACCTACAGCTTGCTGGGCCCACCCCAGAGCTGCTGATCGGGAAGGGCAGGGGTGGCCCCATTTCTAACCAGGTCTCCGGGTTGCTGGGGCCGGGGACACCTTGAGAAGCGCAGGGACAGGACCTGGATGAGTCCTTAGGGAAGACAGAGGGAGGTCAGCTTCCAGGCGCCCACCCCAGGAGGCTCCTGAACCCTCGGTGGGACCACAGGCCTGGAATCTCGGGTCAGCCTGATGCCCCCGCACTGTCGCGTGGACGCCTCGGGCTCCCGTCTCTGGGCCTGTGGCCCTGACTTCCCCAGGCCCCCGCCGCTGACCTTGCCCCTCCCCAGGGATGGACCCCTCCCGGAGATACCCACTGTGGTACAAGAACATAGTGTCCCTCTGGATCCTCTTTGGGATGGCGTGGCTGGCCTTGATCATCAAACTGATCCTCTCGCTGCTGGAGACCCCAGGGGGGACGTGTTCCTGCCACCACCACTGCTCCAAGGCGGACCTCAAGCCCGGAAGCTGCAGGCAGGGCCCAGTCGGGGGGCCCCAGGCCCACTCCCCTCAGCTGGGAATCACACAGCATCTCGAGCCCTCCACGCAGGCTGTGCACTGTGGCGAGGACAGCTAGTCACACTTCCGTGTCTGTGGGGTCTTCCTCCTAAGCAACCAGACCCTCTGACTTTAAGCATGACCTATGACCATCCAGATGAAAGACTATGTTTTCAGTCTTCCCTTGAGGCTAGGTGCAGGGATCTGATTAAATTCCACCCCACAGGACAAACAGAGACGTATCCTGTGTGACTCTGGAGATGGAGCACGCCCCTCTTCCCCCACTTCCTTCCTTTAGCTGACTGTAATGCTCATATTGGTGGCTGGTGCTCAGGCAGCCACATTGTACCACGAAGTACAGAAGCCATGTTTGAGATTGGTGGCACAGTAACAGAAGGAGCCTGGGTCCTGGATGACCACAGAGCCATCATAATAAACCTGGGATGAACACCACTTGACTTCATTTATGTGAGAGCCAAATAAATGTCTTATTTTAAACCATTATGTGGGTTTTTCTGTCACTCACATACTGATTCTAACTGAAACACACACTGGACAAAGAGCGTATCTGAGACTGGAGACTCTAAGGGGAGAAGCCACCCCTGAAGTCCACTAAGGCTCTGCCTATAACTCCCAGGGCTGATGCAGCCAGCAGGTGGCCAGTCCCAGCTCAGCTGCGGGATCCTGGCACGGAGAAGCCAGAGGCCAGCCGAGCGCCCCTCCTGCCTCCCCGGCCCCCACCCCAGAAGGCTGCAGCCACAGCGGGCCAGAGGTTGCAGACGCCTCCCCCTGAGATTCCGGCTCACTGAGGGGTCGCGTCCCCACCACCCAGACACACACACCCAGGCCCCCAACCCAGCCAGGAACCCTGAGCACCAGCCAGCACCTGAGGGTCCCCTGGAGCAGCTGGGTTCTGGCCGCAGTGGCCACCCGTGACTCTGCCCCCCACCCACCCCTCCTGCAGGGAGCCTCCTGGGCACCGCTCAGCCCCGTGGCCCTCCTGGACCTGGGTGGGCAGCCTTTGGGCCAAGACAGTAATGAGGGTCTTCACTGCATCTGCTTGGACCTCGTGATCTGCCCCTAAGAGGCCAAGACCAGACAGGGCCACGCCAGGCCCAGGCACGCTTCCCAGGGCCGACAGATGGCAGGGGTAGGTAGGTGAGGAGATGCAGCAAGTGGCCAGGACCAACAGGACCCGCCAACGCCACCAACAGGACCCACCAACTCGACACTTGGAGAGAAGGACAGGCCAGGACCCTGGGTTGACACTATGGTCACCTCTGCTGTCCTAGGGCCTCTTTCCCCTTAGACCTGGCCTCCTTGGCTAAATCCTCTCTCTCCCTCATCAAGCCCTCTGCCCTGGTGCCCACCCGGCCCTTGTGTTCAGAAGTGCTGGCCCCAGCCAGGCACCTAATACATGCCTGTGATCCTAGTTTTTAGGGAGGCTGAGGCAGGAGGACCTCAGTTTTAAGGCCAGCCTCAGCAACTTAGCAAGACCGTGTCTCAAAATAAAAAATGAAAAGAGCTGGGAACATAACTCAGTGGTAGAGGCCCCTAGTTTCAATCCCTAATATCACCCAAAAAAAGCTTGGCCCGGAGGGAACCCACCTGGGGCGCTGGGAGGTGGCCCGGGGAAGGCCTCTCGTTGGCAGATTCCTGGCAGATGTTTATTCCTCAATGAGAAGAGAGCAGGCTGGGGTGGGAGGCTGGGACCTGGGAAAGACGCAGGAACAGACACTGTGACCGCAGGACTCAGTGTGACCGAGGACAGCCAGGCCTCGCCCAGGGCCCAGGGAGGGAGAGCAGGAGAGTGACCTGGGTGAAGGCCGGGGATGGAGGAGGACTGTCCCAGGGCCTGGCCGGGGTGGGGATCCTGGTCTGCGCCCCTGTCCAAGTCGCAGATCTCCCGGGCTGGTCAGCGAGCTGAGGCTGCAGAGCGTGGATGCCGCGCGGGCTGCTGGGCTGCTGACCTGCTGACCCCTGGGGCCGGGGGGCGGGGGGGGGCGATGAGCTCACGCTGCAGGATGGGGCCCTGCCCTCCGGGGCTCCCAGGCTGATCCCATCAGCCGCTGGCCAGGATGAGGGGTCTGGACAGGCTGAGTCACTCACAGGCAGTGTCACGCCAACTGGGGGCCACTCTGCTGCTTCCCCGTCAACGCTGGGGAAAGAACTCCTCGGCCATCACTATCTGCAGGTGGGGAAGAGGACATCTTGGAAGATGCTAGGACCAAAGGTGGCCCCGGTCCCTGTGGGACCTCGTGCCGCTGAGCTCCCTGGACACCCTGTGTGGCCCTGACCAGCCACTCCCCATCTGCACCTGCTGGCTCACCTGTGAGACTTCAGGTCTGGATCTGGAGACAGCACTTCCCCAGGCCCCTGGCCTCTGCCTCCTGGTCTCCCATGCTGAAGGCCCAGCCAGGGGAAGGGTCTTCATTCCTGGCAGGGCCTGACCAGAGGACAATCAGCCTCTGCGGAAACCAGAGACTCCGAAGTCAGACACAACAGCTCTGCTCTGACTCCACACGTCCCCGTCCCCTGGGCCCTTACCTCACCAGGACCCCGCCCTGGGCTCCAGGCCCGGGCAGCACTGCCTGAAGTAGCCCACTGACCTCCACCCGCCCCAGCCTCACCCAGTGCTGCCCCCCAGGCCTCTGCCCCCACAGGCCTCCCTGCTCTGTCTGTCCCCAACCAGGGCTGGGTCCTGCATCTCCTAACCTCCTGGGCCCTTTGCTGCCAAAACTCTCCCCCAGTAAAAATTGTGCCTGGAGGCCAAGGAGACAGCCACCAGCAGCCTCCAGGGCCTTCCAGCCGGTCCCTCTCTCTCTCTGCCCCGAATCCCAGCGCTTGCCTCGTCCAACCTGTGGGGGACCCATATCATCGCAGGGCCCAGTGGCCAGTGTCCAACCAGAGCTGGACACCTCCACAGTGTCCAGAAGTAGGAAAACAAAAAAACAAGCCAACCCCCTCCCACAGCCACCAAAGAGCCCCGGCCCCCGCTGGCCCTGGGGCAGGAACGCTCGCTGCTCAGCCCCTGCCCACACTCCAGCCTCTCCACGTCCTCTCTCCGCCCCCTACGTCTTCTTAGACCGACTTTTACTACACTGATTCTTGCCTGGACTCAGGCAGATAGGAGTCTGTATCCTGACCATCACCAGCTTACTGTGCAACGTTCGAGAAGTAGCACAACTTCTCTGAACCTCAGGCTCTCCATCTGCAAAATGGAAATCCTGATACCAACCTAGGATTGTTTTGATGAGTGTGGGGGTGTGGGTGACAGATGAGAAGGCAACTATATTATACCTAGTATATAATAAGGATCACAAATATTTGATCCCCTCCCTTTCTCTTCTTGGACTCAAATTTCCCTCCTCCCTTCCTCCCTCCCTCCCTCCCTTCCTTCCTTCCTTCCATACTGGGATTCAACCAGGAGATCTTACCACTGAGCCCTTTTTATTTCTTATTGTGAATCGGGGTCTTGCTAAATTGTTGAGGCTGGCCTCAAACTTGCCATCCTCCTGCCTCAGCCTCCTGAGTTGCTGGGATTATAGGTGGCACCTGGCACCATCCTCCAACTCCCTTTCTTTAGGCAGTCTGTGAAACCCATTTGCACCCCTTCCTCCAATTAGTCCTTCTGGACCCGCCTGCCCTTTGACCTCCACTGGACTTGAGAGGCGGGAAGTGAGGCCGGGGGTGGAGGGAAGCTCAGGGGGGGCAAGGAGACAGACTGCAACATGGAAGGGAGGGTTAGAGTGTGTCTTGGAGAGAGCAGCTCCCAACCAGCCCACCGGCCAAGGCTCTAGGGGTCAGGTCGCCAGGGTGTGGTGGAGCTCCGAGGGGTGTGGAACGGTCAGCTCTGCTCTCTCGTTTTGCTCTCTGTGGCTCCCTCCCTCCACCCACTGTCTGACCTTCTCAGAAACCCTGAGTCCCTGGGGTGGGACAGAGGAGAGACAGGGCCGACCCCTCAGACGGTCACCCACGCTCCTCTGGTCTTTGGCTTCCAGTTTGATTCAGCCTGAGCGGGTCAGGAGAACAAGTGTAGGAAGTGTAAGTCTTTAAGATAGAAGCTTTAAAAAACATTATATCAAGCTGGTGTTCTCCAAAAGGTTGCATGGTAATTTTAGGCTTATAAAAATAACATATTGGAAATTTATTTATATCATTTAATTTTCTATAACTGGACCTGATATCAATAAGATTAATAGAAAGTTCTATAAACTGGGTTCAATTCAAATGTAATACCATATTATCTTAGCTAGTATTCATGTGACATCAAGCAATGATATATGTAAACTTTATAAAATGATATTTAAAAGAAAGATCAGCTTCAATACTACAACACTTTACCTAAGATTTATAAAGAACCCCACCTTACCAGAGATCAGGCTCTGCCTCCCATCTCACTACATGTCAGAGTGACTGCAAAGTAAGCCAGACTTCAGCTAAAGCCCAGTACTCTTCATTTAAGACTGGTTAGACTGACTTTGCTGGATGTTTAAGGTCAATACTTAAAATTAAAATTAAATTAAAATGGCCAAGAAAACCAATATTTGGCTCTGGCCCTCTGCGTCAGTCTGAAATCCAGGGAACAGGGAACTTATCTCTAAAGAGCTTTGCAACTCTGGGCCACATAACCTCCTGATCAGGGAGATTTTTGAGACCACTGGAGAATGAAAAGCCAATCAGTGCACTTGCTGTGAGTAGGAGGGTCATTGGAGACAGGAGACATCCCTGATGCTTCCAAGGGAAGCCACATGGTCAAGCAAGACCTGGACCCATCCTATCGCAAATGGCACTAGCAGAACTGAGAAGCTGCTCTCAAGTTCCCCCATGAGCTACCCCTATGGGAACTCGACTGACTCTTAACAATAGATAGAAACAAAGTCAATTTTGACCAGCTTGATCTTAAACACCTACCAAAAACAGTTAAGCCAAAACCCAGTCATTCCTAGGAGTAATAAAAGACAAGAACAGCTAGAAAAGAGGAGACAGCAACTAGCCAACAGTCTCCATGGGGAATGTTCAGTCAAGTATGGCCTTGGCTCCTCCCCCTCACAGGACCCCTATTAGTCCTCTTTATGCTTCTCCTAATAGGACCACTAATAGGACCACATCTGTTAAATTGCCTACAGAAGTTCCTGCAAGATCAGATATATAGGTTCACCAACCAGCTGGTCAATCAACTACTTCTTTAAGACTACCAGCCCTGGGTGCCCAAGATGGAGACCTACGACTCATGACCAACTCCTCTGGCTCCAGAGACTCTGTGCCCATCTAAAACCCTCTCTAACCCTTTTTTCCAGTTTTCACAACCCCTCTTTCACTTCCTAGGAATGAGAACTACTCTCCAGCAGGTCCACTCTGCTTATTCTGTCTGCTCTACAGCATCCCCACAAGGAAGCATCAAACCTACACTCCCCACACCTCAGATGAGGAGCCACCAGCCAGGCAAAGACTGGTAGATCAACTTCACTCATGTGCCTAGGCACAAAAAGCTTTGCTATG